GGTGATAGTGGTGGTAGTGGTGTTTAGAAGTGAGTTGGTGTTTTCATGTATTTTCTTGTTAGTGGTAGGTGGTAGTAGGAGTGTAGAAGGTAGTGGGGAGTGGTAGGGAGGTGATGATGGTGGTGGGAGTGGTGGTAGGGGAGTGGTGGGTGTGGTGGTGTGTGTGGTAGTGGTGGTGGTGGTGGGGGTGATGGTGGTGGTGGTGGGTGGTGGTGGTGGTGGGGGGTGGTGGGGGGGTGATGATGGTGGTGGGGAGTGGTAGGGAGTGGTGGGGGTGGTGGTGGTGGTGTGGTGGTGGTGGTGGTGGGGGTGATGGTGGTGGGCAGTGGTGGGGAGTGGTGGGTGTGGTGGTGTGTGTGTGGTAGTGGTGGTGGTGGTGGTGGGGAGTGGTGGTGGGCAGTGGTGGGGAGTGGTGGGTGTAGTGTGGTGTGTGTGGTAGTGGTGGTGGTGGTGGGGGGTGGTGGTGGGTGATGGTGGTGGTAGAGTGGTAGGGAGTGGTGGGGTGTGGTGGTGTGTGTGGTAGTGGTGGTGGTGAGTGGTAGGGGGTGGTGGTGAGTGGTGGTGGATTGGGTGGTGGGAGGGGTGTGGTGGTGGTGGGGGTGGTGGGGGTGATGATGGTGGTAGGCAGTGGTGATGGGAGTAAGTGGGTGTGGTGGTGTGTGTGGTATTGTGTTTGATGTTGGTGGTGGGGGTGATGGTGGTGGTGGGTGGTGGTGGGGTGGTGGGAGGTGTGTGGTGGTGGTGGAAGGGGGTGGTGGGGGTGATGATATGATGGTGGTGTTTAGAGAGGTGGGGTGGGGAGTGGTGGGTGTGGTGGTGTGTGTGGTAGTGATAGTGGTGGTGGTGGGGGTGATGGTGGTGGGCAGTGGTGGGGAGTGGTGGGTGTGGTGGTGTGTGTGTGGTGGTGGTAGTGGTGGTAGTGCAGGAGTGCTGATGGTGGTGGTGGTGGGTGGTGGTGGGAGGTGGTAGAGGAGGTGGTATGGTGGTGGGGGGTGGTGGGGGTGATGGTGGTGGTGGGCAGTGGTGGGGAGTGTGGGTGGGTGTGGTTGGTGCATGTAGTAGTGAGTGGTGGTGGTGGGGGTGATGGTGGTGGTGGTGGTAAGGCGGTGGGTGAGTGGTGTGTGGTAGTGGTGGTGGGGGTGGTGGTGGGGTGGTGGTGTGTAGTAGTGGTGGTGGGGGTACAGGGGTGATGGTGGTGGTGGTGGGTGGTGGTGGGTGGTGGTGGGGTGGTGGGAGGGTGTGGTGGTGGTGGGGGGTGGTGAGGAGGTGTTGGTGTTGGACAGTGGTGGGGAGTGGTGGGTGTGGTGGTGTGTGTGGTAGTGGTGGTGGGGGTGGGAGTGATGGTGGTGGTGGTGGGTGGTGGTGAATTGGTGGGAGGGAGTGTGGTGGTGGTGGGGGTGGTGGGGGTGATGATGGTGAGGTGGAAGCAGTGGTAGGGAGTGGTGGTGTGAGTGGTGTGTGTGGTAGTGGTAGTGGTGGTGGTGGGGGTGTTGATGAGTGGTGGGCAGTGGTGGGGAGTGGTGGGTAGCTGGTGGTGTGTGTGGTAGCCAGGTAGTGTGGTGGTGGTGGGAGTGACCCAGTGGTGGTGGTGGTGGGTGGTGGTGGGGTGGTGGGAGGTGTGGTGGTGAAAGTGGGGGGGTGGTGGGGGTGATGGTGGTGGTGGGCAGTGGTGGGGAGTGGTGGGTGTGGTGGTGCATGTGGTAGTGGTGGTGGTGGTGGGAATGGTGGTGGTGGTGGTGAAAAGGGTGGGTGGTGGTGTGTGTGTGGTAGCGAAGTGGTGGGGCTGAGGGTGGTGGTGGGTGGTGGTGTGTGGTAGTGGTGGTGGGGTGGGGTGATGAGCAGGTATGGTGGTGGGTGGTGGTGGGTGGTGGTGGGGTGGTGGGAGGTGTGGTGGTGGGTAGGGGGGTGGTGGGGGTGATGATGGTGTTGGACAGTGGTGGGGGAGTGGTGGGTGTGGTGGTGTGTGTGGTAGTGGTGGTGGGGTGGGGGTGATGGTGGTGGTGGTGGGTGGTGTGAGTGGCCGGGTGGTGGGAGGTGTGGTGGTGGTGGGGGTGGTGGGAGGTGATGATGGTGGTGGGCAGTGGTAGGGAGTGTTGGGTGTGAGTGGTGTGTGTGGTAGTGGTAGTGGTGGTGGTGGGGGGTGATGGTGTGGTGGTGGTGGGTGGTGGTGGGGTGGTGGGAGGTGTGGTGGTGGTGGGGGTGGTGGGGGTGATGATGGTGGGTGGGCAGTGGTGGGGGTGGTGGGTGTGGTGGTCGTGCTGGTAGTGGTGGTGGTGGGGGTGATGGTGGTGGTGGTGGTGGTGGTGGGTGGTGGTGTGTGTGGTAGTGGTGGTGGGGGTGGGGTGATGTGGTGGTGGTGGAGTGGTGGTGGGGTGGTGGGAGGGGTGTGTGATGAAGATAGTGGGGGTGGTGGGGGTGATGATGGTGGTGGGCAGTGGTGGGGAGTGGTGGGTGTGGTGGTGTGGCTGTGGTAGTGGGTAGGAAAAATTGGTGGTGGTGGGGGGTAGTGGTGGTGGTGGTGGGTGGTGGTGGGGAGTGGTGGGTGTGGTGGTGTGTGTGGTAGTGGTAGTGGTGGTGGTGGGGGTGATGGTGGTGGTGGTGGGTGGTGGTGGGCTGATGGTGGGGCGTGTGGTGGTGGGGGGTGGTAGTGGTGGGGCGGTGGTTGTGGAGTGGTGGTGGGAGATGCTGGTGGGGGTTTGGAGGTTTTTGAGGTACGTGCCCATGGCTGCTATATAAAGTTCTGGAACTGTCTTACTAGACTGCAGATAGGTGTGAATACTTACCTCAGTAGGTGCTAATTGTGAAGTGAAACCAATTATATTCACATGGGAAAAAAAAGTATCTCTCTAGTAGACGTGACCTCAAAGGAAGGAAGCAAAGGGAGTTGAGGCTTTTATTTGGGCTGTGAACAGCGCCCTTCACCATTAGACTCCATCTTCTCCAAGCTTCATTCTTTGCAGCCTCCTTCTAAGACACTAACTAGCAGTTCCAAATATTTCATCTTCACTCATAGGTTATACTCCTTTATACCACCTCCAAAGGCTGCTGATGTATTTTTCCCTTGGGGAGTGAGGTAGGACAGAAAAAGAAAAAACCATGTATGTGGGCTGCTGCCTGCAAAAGTCTTTCCAGATCTCTGGTGAGTGATAGCCCAGGGTGGCATTTGGTGTACCAGCAAGACCATGCAACCCTCAGTCAAGAAACTCAAGTTCTAGTCATTTGTTTCTGCCCATCAGTTATTTCATGATCCAAGCAGTTTGTCCCCTTCTCTGGAGCTCTAATATCCTCAGCTGCAGAATGAAACAGCAGGCAACTTTTTTCAAAGGATTGGTATTCTATAATGTCTATATTTTATTTTATTTTAAAAGTAATTAATTATTTCAGAGCGGGTGTCTCACTGTCTCCTGGCTGGAGTGCAGTGGCATGATCATAGCTGACTGCAGTCTTGAACTCCTGGGCTCAAGTGTTCCTCCATCCTCAGCCTCCCCGTGTAGTCCTGTATTTTAAAATGGCAGGTGTGTACGGGAGAGGCAGTGGGCTGGAAATCAAATGTCCTCAAGTTTTACCAAACACTTCTTTCTGCCATTTTTCTACTTCAATTATTGCATTTCTACAGTCATGAATTGTCATTGTTTGCTTACATGTCTGCCTTTAAACTGTGAATTTCTGGAGGGCAGGATCCATCTCTCTCCCATCTATGTTTCCAGAGCTGCTTACACAATGCCTTCTACACAGCGAGTGTGCCATGAGTGCTGGCGGGATTGGCTGAAGAAACAGTGATGTGGCCGGGTGTGGTGGCTCACGCTTGTCATCCCAGCACTTTGGGAGGCCGAGGCCGGTGGATCACGAGGTCGGGAGATTGAGACCATCCTGGCTAACACAGTGAAACCTACTAAACCTCTACTAAACCTCTACTAAAAATACAAAAAATTAGCCGGGCGTGGTGGCGGGTGCCTGTAGTCCCAGCCACTTGGGAGGCTGAGGCAGGAGAATGGCGTGAACTCGGGAGGTGGAGCTTGCAGTGAGCTGAGATCACACCACTGCACTCCAGCCTGGGCGACAGAGCGAGACTCTGTCTCAGGAAAAAAAACAAAACAAAACAAACAAAAAAACAAACAAAAAAAAGAAACAGTGATGCAGTGGCTAGATGTGGTTAGCACTGTGAGAAACTGTGAGCTTGACATGCCTGGGTTCAAATCCTAGTTTTGCCACTTGCTAGTTGTGGGCCTTAGACAAATTACTTTCTGAGCCTCCATTTCCTAATTTTCAAATGGCTGTAATAGTTCTTACCTGGCAAAGTGATTGTGAAAATTAAGTGAGATAATTCATGTCGTGTGCTTCTCAGAACATGACAGATGCTGTTTTAAAGACTTTGTCATTTTGGTCCTGTGACCATCATGCTAAAGGTTGGAAGTGAAGGTTGGGGAGATTAGTAATTTGATTGTTAATCCAAAACAAAATATTTCAGGATATTTTGGTCTGCATTTTGCAGGAAATATCTTAATTCTAGCCTGCATTTTATCATCTACCACAGACCTAAGTAGTCTTTTGATTGGCGGTAGTATTACTGTCTCTGGCTGTGAAAAACAGGCAGTTCTCCAAAGACCTTTCCATGTGTGTGCTGAAAGGTGCAATGCAGAGTTTTGCTGCAGTGAGTCTGCAGGCACTGTCTTGCTGAGGAAGCATCTTAGACTTCCCGAAGCTGGCTTTGTGAAGTTGCTGTTTTGCATAATAATACATTTGGCCTAGAAAGGGCTTCAGGAACATCACTGTCTTTTATACTGTGAACCCGATTATATTAATAAACTCCCAAAGAGCAAGTCAACCACTTTTCTCCTTGGGCCTCTTCAGTGCCGTTTAGAAAAGTATCTTGCCAGTGGAGTAGTGGTACCTGTACCTCCCTATGATCTATATGGACTGGGGCAAGGTGCAAATCAAATGCCCCCTTCCTTTTGTCTGTAGAAGACGACAAGCAAGAGAATGTATTCAGATTTACTGACCTGGGACTTTCTGACTGGAGACTGATTATCACTTGATGTTCAAGTTTAAATGGGTCAACAAAAAAAAATGTATCTCCATCCTCAGGAACGTCATTCCTGTTGAGTTTGATTTTATTTATTTATGTGCTTGTAACTAAAAGTTTCCTCTGGAAGGAATAAAATTATAGGAAATTAAACAAAATTATTAACACTTTCTCTGTCTTCTAATGCCACAATTAAATATTGCTCCCACTAATTATAATAGTAGTTATCCTTTATTGAATAATTAGTATGTGTTAACTATTGTGCTAAGTGCTTTACATGTTTAATCTCTTTTTCATTTTTAAAACAATTTGCAAATAAAGAAGTATTTATCCCTATTTTGCTGTAAAGGAAACTGAGACTCCACAAATGACATGTCTGTACCTAATTTCATTACAATGTCCTTCATTTAATACTCTGCTTATCTGACCCTGCAACTCTGCCTTCTGAGCCCTCGTGTCTACATTTGTAGGCCTTCAGTCTCTTCCCTCACTGTTGTTCCCAATGCAGTCTCAGCAATGACCCTAGTATCTGAGTATCTGAGCATGGGCTGGCTGCAGTCCATCACTATTTGTTGTTCTGGGACCTTTTTGCTTTTTTTGCTTATATTCTAGGTAGATGAGGATATTGGGTCACTACCAGAAAGGAGCTATGGTACTGCATTATTTTGTAAAGCTGGTGGTAAATATATGGCATTTGATAAATCTTGAGATGGTATAGGCTCAAAGTAAAAGTAGATTTTAGGCAGGCCGGATATGGTGACACATCTGTAATCCCAGCACTTTGGGATGCTGTGGGGGGTGGATCACTTGAGGTCAGGAGTTCAAGACCAGCCTAGCCAATGTGGTGAAACCCTGTCTCTACTAAAAACAAAACAAAACAAAAATTAGCTGGATGTGGTGGTGGGTGCCTGAGGAGAAGGCAGCAATATTCAAACAATTTGATCATAGGAAATAGGGCAGTGCTTCGCAGTTAACCCAGTGAATTCAACAGTCTATCTCTGACACCAGCAGGATGTTTCCTGCTAGAGATTAATGATTTTCTCTGTTTTTAACATGCTAACTTCCCATTAAAATGGTCTCTTAAGAGATTTGTGCATCCAATGCCCTCATTTTACAGATAAGAAAACTGGGCCAGGTGCAGTGGCTCATGTGTGTAATCCCAGCATTTTGGGAGGCCAAGGGGGGGATCACGAGGTCAGGAGTTCGAGACGAACTGGGTGACATGTTGAGAGACTCTGTCTCAAAAAAAATAAAGAAAAGAAAGTATTTAGGTAAATGTATACAAGAGGTTTTACTATGAATATGGAGACTAAGATTCCAATGGCTATCACCTCTTCTTTTGTTCTGCTTCTCTTGGGAACATATGTTCCTCAAGTCCCAGCTGGCATCTTCATCAGTTCTACTGGACAATGTATGGTGCCACCCATCCCATCATTCTGGTACTCATTTCCACTAAGTGCGGATGGGGGGTTGGTGAGGGAGAGCGAACAGGTGCCTGGTATCTGCAAACCTGGTTTCTCTTCTCAACTGTACCGCCCACCAGCTGTGAGACTTTGAGGGAAGTCAATTAATCTCTCTGGGCTTCAGTTTTCTTTTCTTTGAGACAGAGTCTCGCTCTGTTGCTCAGTCTGGAGTGCAGTGGTGCGATCTTGGCTCACTGCAACCTCTGCCTCCCAGGTTCAAGTAATTCTTCTGCCTCAGCCTCCTGAATAGCTGGGATTACAGGTGTGCATCACCACACCTGGCTAATTTTGAATTTTTAGTGGAGACTGGGTTTCACCATGTTGGTCAGGCTGCTCTCGAACTCCTGACCTCGTGATCCGCCTGCCTCAGCCTCCTAAAGTGCTGGGATTACAGGCATGAGCCACTGCACCCAGCCCAGTTTTCTTATCTGTAAAATGAGGGCATTGGATCCACAGGTCTCTTAACAGACCATTTTAATGGGAAGTTAGGATATTGAGAACAGAGAAAACCATTAAGCTCTAGCAGAAACATCCTACTGATGTCAGAGATAGACTGTTGAATTCATTGGGCATAGCTGAGAAGCGCTGTCCTATTTCCTATGCTCAAATCATTTGAATATTGCTACCTTCCCCTCAGATGTTGAAAGCATGTCTTCCTTTTTCAGATGAGAGATCTGAGGCTAATTTTGGCCATTGGTTGGCCATGGACTCTTATTTATTGCTGATTACTTAATTGGCAGGGCAAATGCAATGTCAATGAATAGCAGATGAGTGGCAGCTGATGTGATGGTAGCCAGGAATAATTGCCAGTAAATGGAGAGGGCTGCCCTACTTTGCTTTACTAAAGTTAGCAGGCGCCTGCAGAGATTCGTATGGCTCCTAATGATTTTTGTTAAGTTTGGAGAACAGTTGGACTGCAGATTAATTTCACCATGTTTCTTCCTGACATTTCTCATTTAAAAGGTGCTAAAATTCTAAAATGAACAAAAATAAAAAGTGTCTTCTTTACTCAAGGGGAAAATTGCCTCTTTGCAGAAATGCTTTCTAAGGAATATTGACTTCTTGATTTGACTGAGACATTGTCTGTCATGAGCTTCCTCACTGACGCTACTTACCTTTCTTCTTCCAAGTACTTGTTTCTATGCATGTTTATTCTTTCTTCTCTTTCGTCTGAGATAAAAAGATAGTTTTCTTCCTTTTTACGTACCAACTCTTCCACCTGTACTGTGGAATTATCTTTTTGATTTCAAAAGTAATACATACTTATTGCAGAAAATTTGGAAATTGTGGAGATGTAAAAGAAGAAAATAATATCACTCCTAATCCCACCACTAGAGACAGTTGCTGTTAACGTTTTGAGGTCTTTCTGATTTTTTTCTAAGCACACTTTTAAAATAATAAAATTGGGATTCTATTGTACACTAATTTGAATGGCACTTAAAAATTAATATACAAAGAGCATTTTCCATGCTACTAACTACTTTTTGAGAACCTTGTTTTAATGACTGTATCAAATTTTCTTGTGGGATTGTATGCTACTTTGCTAAATTATTACTTTCACCTAACATTAAGGCTTGTCCCTACATTTTTGATCCTGTCCTTTCTTAGCTCCCCTGAGAGTGCACCCTTCCATCATGCCTCTGCTCTTCCTTCATCGCCGCGGTGTTTTCTGTTGATGCTTTCTTGCATCTTCCGGCACACAGGTGCATCTCTACTCTCATCTCTAATCTGCTGTGTCATTTTGAATGTTTCCCATTTCGGTCTCTGGTTTTTTCATTGTATCACAGTCTGTGAACTGCATGTTTTGTCTCCTACAAATTCATATGTCGATATCCTAACCTCCAATGCGATGATATTTGGAGATGAGGCTTCTTGGAGGTCATTAGGCCAAGAGGGTGGACCTCTTATGGATGGAATTAGTGCCCTTATAAGAAGAGGCATGAAGGAGTTTACTTCTCTCTTCCACTGTTTGCCATGTGAGGATACAATGAGAAGGCAGCCATCTGCAAACCAGGAAGAGGGCCCTCACGAGAACCTGACCATGTTGGCACCCTGATCTCAGACTTCCCAGCCTCCAGAATGGTGAGAAATAATTGTCTGTTGTGTAACCCACTCACTCTATGGTACTTTGTTATAGTATCTAGGACAGACTGAGACACACAGATAATCTAAGCATGGCTCTGGGCGTGTAATTGCACCCAGTGAAGATCAGCCCCCAACCTAGCTTCCCAGGCTCATTTGCCCTCCACATGCACCCCTTGATCTAATCTAATTATATTGCACGTGTACACCCAGACATCCTGCTCATGACCTCCTTTCTGGCCATTATGCATAAGCGTGATACATATTCATCGAAACCACTGATAAAAATGTCAAACCCAGGCCTGTGGCTCAACATTAGGGACTTACAAGATGAAGTCAATCTACTTATCAACAGTCCTGAAGCAAAGATGATTTAGCCAATTGTTTATATAGAGAACGGTTGAACATTGCAGCCCATGTTTCTGCATCCTGCCTCCTGGGATATTATTAGTGGTCCATTTGAAACTTTGGAGTAGGTCAGACGTGCTGCACTTCCAGATTTCCCTAATCATCACATCCACCTTCTAGAGCAAAAAGGGAGGTGACATTGTCAGGTTCTGATCTTCATGAGGTCATGCTGGTTCCTGGAGATCACTGCTGCCTCTTCTAAAGGTTCAGAAGATTCCTTATTAAGCCACTCCAAATCTGTGAATTGTTTTTGCTCCCTTTATGAAAAATTGAAACTATCTGTGTTGATTGTTTGCTGATATCCATAAGGTGACAGATGGAGAGTGCAGTCCATGTGCCTGGGGTGGACTTGAAATGGGTCCGTGGTCTTTGTAGGCATTTGCTGTGGGGAGGACTTAGCTCTCTGCTTTCCCTCTGCTCCATGACTCTGAACTAAGGCCCACTGCCCCTTCTAATGCTGCAGCCCCCAGCTGCACATAGTAGGGTGGTAGGCAGAGTAACACTCCTGAAAGATGTGCATGTTCTAATCCCTGGAACATGTGAACAGGTTGTCTCACAGGGCAAAAGGGCTTTGCACATATGGTTATATTAAATATTTGAGATAAGGAGATTATCCTGGATTCTCTGGGTGGGCACAATGCAATTACATAGGTCCTTAAAAGGGTTTAAAAAAGATTTGAGAATGGAGGAAGGAACCATGAGTCAAGGATGCAGGCAGCATCTGGAAGCTGGAAAAGGAAAGAGAGCAGATTCTCCATAGAGCCTTCAGAAGGAACGTGGCCCTGCTGACACCTTGATTTTAGCCCCGTGAAATTCATTTCAGACTGCTGATCTCCATAACTGTGGAATAATAAATCTGTGTCGTTTTAAGCCACCAGATTTGTGGTGATTTATTATCACAGCAATAGGAAACTAATACAGTAAACTAATTCAACAGAAAAGTCCTTCAAAGTCTATACAAAAGTAACCAACAGACATTTTAAATTCTTGAGATTTGAAAAAGGCCTTAATATCTGTCTACTGTGATCCCTATCCTGAATTCCCCTTTATATGACTTCTGTCAAAGGGGAAGCCTCTGGTGTGTACGTTGGGATTGGAAAGAAGAGTACAGCCCAAGGAAAATGGGAGATGAGAAAGCATATGTAAATATGCTTTATTTTGGAGACATAATACATGTAACATTTCACCCATTTAAAGCATAGAGTTCAGTAGATTTTAACATATTCAAAGAGTTGTGCAACCACCACCACAATTGATTTGGGAACACTTCATCATTCCAAAAGGAGATCTACCCATTAGCAGCCAGTCTCTAATCCCTCTCACCCCCAATTCCTGGCAACCACGAATCTATTTTCTGTCTCTATAGATTGATCTATTCTAGACATTTTACATACATGGACTCATACTGTATGTGGCATTTTATATCAGGTTTCTTTCGCTTAGTACAATATTTTCAGGGTTCATCCATGTTGCAGCACGCATCAGAACTTCATTCCTTTCTATTGCTGAGTCATGTTCCATTGCATGGATAGGACCACATTTTGTTTAACAGTTCATCAGTTGATGGACATTTGGATTGTTCACACTTTTGGCTTTTATGAATGATGCTGCTATGAATAATTGTATGCAAATTTTTGTGTGGCTATACACTTTCATTTCTCTTGGCTGTATACCTAGGAGTGGAATATCTAGGTCATCTGGTGACTTTACATTTAAACCTTTGAGGAGCCGCTTGTCTGTTTTCCAAAGGAGCTGCACCATTTTCTTATACCTTCCCACAAGCAATGCATGAGAAACCATCATCAATAGGAATTCTTGCTGGCCTCTGAAAATTATGTAAAGGATACAAAATGCAAAACGTGGATAAGAAAGAGTGACCTGGATGTTTTCAGAAGTAAAACAGATAATCATCAAAAGATACTTGGGTGACCACTTGGCCTGGAAACTCTTACATGATACCTGAATTTTTTTTTTTTTTTCTGAGAAACAGTTCATATTGGCTAAAATCTATTGGCAAATGGCTGCAATAAATTCTTTTGAAGATTTTAGTCTGTTTGGTTTCTTTGCATTTCATTTGATTAGCTTTTGAGAAATTCTGATGACTAATGCCTCAGAAGAGCTTCTTGAACCACAACACAGTGGGGCAGGACTAAGTGCCCCATGTGAATACACACATGCTATTATTATTAGTTAAAAATAACATCATTTCAAGGTGAAGAGCATTATGCATTTTAGAATTTTTATTAGTTTGTTAGGGTTCACAAAATAAAGTACCACAGATAAGGTGGCTTAAACAACAGAAATGTATTCTCTCATAATTCTGAAGGCTGAAAGAGAGCTGAATCAAGGTATTGGCAGGTGTGGTTTCCTTGGAGGCCTCTCTTCTTGGCTTATAGGTGGCCATCTTCACCACCTATGGGTATGTCTTCACATAGCCTTCCCTCTATGTGTATCTGCATCGTAATCTGCTTTTGTAAGGATATCAGTCATGAGGGCCCACCTTGATAACTTCATTTACCTTAGTTACCTCTTTTTTTTTTTTCTTTCTGAGACAGAGTCTCACTCTGTCACCCAGGCTGCAGTGCAGTGGCACCATCTCGGCTCACTGCAACCTCCTCCTCCCAGGTTCAAGTGATTCTCTTGTGTCGGCCTCCTGAGTAGCTGGGATTACAGGTGTGTGATGCCATGCCTGGCTAATGTTTGTATTTTTAGTAGAGACGGGGTTTCACCATGTTGGTCAGGCTGGTCTTGAACCCCTGACCTCGTGATCTGCCTGCCTCGGCCACCCAAAGTGCCTACCTTTGTCACCTCTTTAAAGACTTTATCTCCATATACTAGGGGTTAGGACTTCAACATAGGAATTTTGGGGGGATACAATTGAGCCCAAGACAAAGTTCAGTATCATAAAATCATACTTACTGTACCAAAGGGGTCTGGGCTAGTGGAGAAAACAGATTTTAAAAATATATATTATTTTTACTGTGTGTCTTTAGGTAAAAGCATAAGCCTCAGGTCCTTATTAAACATGGAAAGATGTTTATTCTTGGTGCAAGAATGAAGGGTACTGTGCGACCTAGAGCAGACTCGAGGAAAGGTTAACGTGGATGCATTCTTAATTGTTCTTCTACCTTCCCCTATGTTTCCTCCTCGCTCATCACAGTTAGGTATCAATATCTTCTTGCTGTAACTCTTCCATTAAAACCTGTTCTACCTGCAACTTAAGCATGCTATAATATGAATGTCTGACAACCACTTCAGGAGTTTTTTCTGCTTTATGTTTTATTTTTCCAGAGACTCAAGCCTTAAGCCAAAGGAATCATGCCTTAAAGGAATTTCAGAGGTCAGTTAGGGAATGAAGAAAGTATTTCCTGAAATCTTTTTCAGTACCCTGGATATCACCCCACCCAGATAATTGCTTACTCACCCTTTTACAATGTCAGCCTTGATGATAATTCAGACGAAAGATGTACTTAATTAAAAATAAAACCCAACTCCAGAGAAAGATATCTTGTAGAAAAATTTTCTAGCCCTAATGTCACCCACCTGTGTTGCTAATGATGGTATACTTTTTAATGTGAGTCAACATGTGCTGGCTCCCATTTTCAGTGTTCCTAGATTTTTATCTGCCTGCCTTATTTTCGGAGGAACTGGCCTAACATCTCATGAGTGTTGATACTATTAGAACTGGCCAGTATTTGGGTTGGTTGGGAGGTGGAGTGGGCCTGGGAGGCTGGCTTTCCTGTTGGTCTCTAGCCTGCAGAATTGTTGTTGTCGGTCATGTAGAATGAAAACTGCAACTTTAATGGTGCTCATTACATCATTCACTGTCTGAAGAGCATGCACACTGTCACACAAGAAATGATAGCTGAGGATGGAACTCTGAATATATTTGATCTTCATGATTTCAGTGTCTGGAGTGATGGCTAGATATCTTTGTGCCACTTTCCTTTCTAGTGGCCGAAAAGGTATCTGATTCAACAGAAAAGTCCTTCAAAGTCTATACAAAAGAATTTGTCTCAGAGCTTCTTGATTATGTAAAGGCCTCTTTAGCTTTGAAACAAGAAAATAATCAGAATCTTCCTATTACATTCTGGGAAACATACTCAGAGACATAAGAGTTCAGGAGAAAAAACAGACAAAATGCCTTCCTGTCTCACCAAAATTATATTAAATAGGTGGAGCCTGGCAAAGGGCAGGCTTTATGCAGAAATGATTTCCCCCTAGATCTAGAGATGACCTGATAGCCAAAGGTTGAGATTCATTTGATTAAAGTCTAAACTTCCATCTTTTGTGTTATGAGTCTCTTTGAGATTTATAATCCTCATTTATAAAATGGGATTAATATTTTTACTTGTGTTACAACAAAATAAGATAATATAAGGTTTGTAAAGCACGTAGCACATAAATATTAGATTACTTTTCCTTGCCTTGGTAGCAAAACTCTCTAAAAAACCCACTTATTATGAACATGTTGACTTTTTTGAAAAGTAGAAAGAGAATAGTAAGAGGAACACAATTTAAGATGAACACACCTAGATTTAACAATTGTTAACATTTTACCATATACACTTAATTTCTTTTTAGTTATTTTCTGAAGAATCTGAAGTAAATTGCAGACATAACTTTATTTTAACTTGAAATATTTAACATGTGCCTTTAAAAAGGAACATATTCCCCTATAACTACAGTACCACTTTAGTCTAACAAAATTAATACTAATTTCTCAACATCAGCTGAGATGTTGAAAATTTTCAGTGGTTTCCAAATGTCTTTCAAAGCTGATTTATTCAGGTAAGATTCTGATATTAGCCTCTCATCAGGGAACTGTATTTTATCTCATTGCTGCTCACTAAGGGGGCAAACCTTGTTCTGTTGTTTACTAGTCGGCAGATCTGAAATTCCTCCGTAAGTCAGGCTAGGAACATACTTTAAGCTAACTCGATATGCAAACTTGAAAAGATAAATTGTTCATAGCAGCAAATGACTCATATGTTTTCAGGGACTGGTTGAAGACTTGAAGTCATGATCTTTTGGTACATCTCAGCATGCATTCACAGGTGCTGGAATGATAGGAAGACGATTAGTGACAGTGGGTTTAGGGGGAGGCAAACGGGATGAAAAACTCATTTACATGGGGAATCTAAAATAATCAAATTTACAGAAGAAGAAAATAAAGTGGAAGTAGGAAGGGAAACTAAAATTGAGGGATCCCAGTGGAGGAGGTGGCTTTGCATGAGGATGGAATGGACTCATCAATACCCCACATGGGTTTAACTCACCACCTATCATGGCTCAGTGGAAAGGCACAGATCTGGGTCCAGATCCCAGCTCCACTCTTCTAGCTGCATGACCTTGGGATAATTACTATACATTTCATACTTTAGTTTTGTTTTTTCTTCTACGCTGTGCTAATACTTTTGTCTACTTTTCATAGATGATGAAGAGATTATAGCAAGTGGACACAGAGTTCTAGGTATATAGTAACCACACACAAAAAGTATCTATCTATATATCTATCATCTATCTTTATTATTATTATGATGATGATACTTTACCTCCTATGGTGTTTGGTGCTTCCAACTCTATTGATGAATGCATCCCATACACAATTGTGCTCAAAACGTCATGACCTAAAGTGAAATAAATACAGGAGACATAGAGACTTATCATAGGATAGGAGTTTTCTGTCATATTTCAAGCAAAGCAGTTCTCCCCTGATCCCTGTCCATCGCCTAACCCTCTTCGTCCATATGGAAGTACTGCAGCTCAAGGTCACAAGGCTATCCACGGCTGAACCTCTCTCTAACTCCCAGATGCCAAAACCTTGCAAAGCTCTGCCTCCTGCTGGCCTTACTTCCCAAGGTCAGTCCTGGATCTATCCCAAGGCCAGAGGATCTTATAAGCACCCTTAGCTCAGCTCTAAAGAGAAAACTCTCTCCCAACTTCCTTGGTGGCCAAATTATCCTTTTCTAAAGCAGATTTATTCCTATAGAATTTAGAAAGCAAAATACTTTTGTTTTCCCAGGAGAGAAGTTTTGACAACAGTGGTTGGCAGGTACTTGTCATTGCTCAAGTGTTGCTAGACAAATGAAGGCTGGCTCAAGATAGTTGCAAAGCATGGTAGTCTACTCTCTAGAACCGCAGTCTTGATTTCAAATTTTAGCTTGCATCTGAATCACCTGGGGATAGTTAAGATTCAGGTTCCTGGGTCTCTAGGTCTGGGATAGCTTGTGTTTCTAATAAACACTCTAATATAGGTGACCCAGGGATCAGGATCACACTTGGAGAAACATGGAAGCAAGTCAACTTGCCTAAAAGTGAGTCTGTGGAATTACCTCTCTGGGATTTGGTTTTCAATGAATTGATTAAGGGCTGGGAAACATTTTCCTAAAGAAAATAGAGTCTTTTCAGCATGATTTCAGGAATATAGATCTCCACAGTCATTTATCAGTGCGGGAGTGGTGTTCTGGTTTCTTTGCCTTTATTATCAAAAGCTTCTGTAGCCTGTTATCATTGACCTGATCATTGACCAGGTAGCCAGGAGAGGGAAGGATGAGCTTTCTAGGCCATGGAACATCAAGTGAAAGGCCTGTGATGGGAAACACATGAAGAGCTGAAGGATCTGAAAGGTATTCAGCAGGTAAATTAATATGATCTGGTGCTAGTTTGGCTATGGGAAATAGCATGGAAAAGATGATGTCCACGATGGGTTCTGGTTTCTGCTTATCCACCTGGTTGGTATCATTCAGGAAGTTAGGAAACACTAGGAGAAGAGTCTTGTCTTTTTTTATTGTTTCTTTGTCTGGAGGATTGGGAGATGGAAATGAGAATTTGGTTCTGGACCTGGTTAATTTGAGATGCCTTTGAGATATCCAACGGAGATGATAAGTAGGCAGCTGGGCTGATGGGCATGGGGCTAGGAGGCATATGGGTTCAACACAGAAAACCATGGGTCATGTGGGAATTGGTGGTTATGGAAGCTGTGGGTATGGGTGAAAATTTCCAGGGATAATGTGGAGGGAGAATCATTGAGTTCTAATGATTGACCCTTAGGAATCTTAACAAGTAAAGGACAGGGAGAGGGGGAGGAGCCAGCAAAAGGAAGCCTGAGGGAAGCTAATTTTTCTCAAGTGAAAAGTTTAGGCATTAAAAGTCAACTGGAGGGGCTGGGCGCAGTGGCTTATGCCTATAATGCCAGTACTTTGGGAGGGAGAGGCGGGAGGATCGCTTGAGGCCAGGAGTTTGAAACCAGTCTGGGCAACATAGCGAGACCTCATCTCTATTAAAAAAAATTAACTGGAGGAAACCAATTGTTAGAAGGAGGTTGAATGTACTAGAGAGAGAAAGATTCCATACGAGATGTACGTAGGAAGGCAGGAAGGATGGGACCTACAGCCCTGGGTTCCAAAGAGGTTATGGTGACACTGTCACAAATATTTGCTGAATATCTGTCAGGACACAGGTATTCTGAGAGTGTCACAGGGTTTTTGGTCTCTGAAGGGCTAGTGTGCTTTGGCTTTGGCTTCCACATTGACTCCTCTGCCTGGGGAAGAGAAGTCTCTATGTACATGCAAGAGTTGTACATTTTTATAGAGACTCAGGACTGAGAAGGGTTTCTGTGTGGGAAAGTTTATCTCCAACATTCCCTTCAACCAGGCTGGTCATGTAGTGTCTATAGTGCTCTGTGCCCTGACTTGGCTTCAAAAGGAACGGCCTGGAGAGACCAATACTTGTTCATTCTTTTCTATTTTCCTCAACCGAATTATGCAGCCATACAGGATTCCTATTATAAATTCCATGAATCAGCTCTTCCTAATGAAAGATTTTTGCATTTTGGGGCAATTTTTGTGGAAATATTTTGCAAAAAGTGAAGTGACAGCTGCCTCTTGTCAGACATCCTGATTCCAGCTGCACTAGCAATTTGGGTTCCAGAAAGTTCTCAGACAGGAAGGAGTCATGCTATAGACAGAAAACAACCCATACATTTAATTCCACTGGAACTGCATTTAGATCCTATGGTCATGCTAGAGAAAATTTGTAATTTTGGAATGGTTGCTGAGAAAGACTGTTTCCGGATTTTTACTCATCTGTTTGTACTTTCTTGGTGCCGATGATCAGTTTAATGAATGTCAACTGAGCACTTTGTCCAAGTCCCTGGGTGGGAGACAGGCGAACAAGGTATGGTCCATGTTACCAGAGTGCTGGGGATAGATGAATTCACAGACACAAAGTCATCATCTCTACAATATAGAGGAAACAAAATGAAATGAAACAGTAACGCAAAAGCAGAGAAGGTGAGGGAGGTGATAGAGTGTGTGTGTGTGTGTGTATTTAAGGGTGAGACTGGCAGAGCTAGGACAAAGGCTGGAACTGGAAAATGCCCATAGAGCAGATGACAGTGAAGTTGGATCTTGAAACATGGTGGGAGTTTGACAGACAGAGATGGAGGGTGAAGTGGGGAAGCCAAAGGCAAACACAAGGTCTGTTTGGTTATGTTTGCTGAGCAGAGCTGTTTCCTTGGACCTCTCTAGTCCACATACCTTTGATGAATTCCCACCACTTGCAAAATAAAGCCCAACCCTACAGCCAGTTTGGAGTAGGGAATGTCTGGCTGTGCAGTTGGTCTTCATTTTGCAGGTAGTGGAGAGTTATTGAAGGAGTTTGGCCTGGAGAGGTCCAAGGTAACAGCTCTACTTAGCAAGGTCACCAAGGGGAGAAGCAGAGGAGTGAGTTGCGGGGCAGAGAGGCCTGTTGGGGGGCTGTGGCAAAATCCTAGGTGAGAATCCATGAACAAGAATGAGAATAGGAACAATGGGACTGAGAAAAAAAAGATGGCAGCTGTGAGGAAAGGACATAGAAAGGAAAGGGGAAAGTCAACAATGAATTGGAATCAACAGACATATTTACTCAGTAAAGACAGTTAATGTTTCTCCCCTATCCCCAATATTTCCTCTCTTCCTCTTCTTTAGTTATGGAAATAACTAAAGGTTTTAGCTAGGTACATGTTTACTCTGGATAAAGACTACATTTTTTCCAGCCTCCTTGCAGCAAGGGGTCTCTAGGTATCAAGTTTTGGCTAACAGGATGCAATGGGACTGTTTCTGCATGCTCTCTGATCCTTCTCCCCCATCCCCATTTCAATTATTGGATTTGGCTGGGATGGTTGGAGCCCCATCCAGTCATTAACAAGGGCTCTGCAGGACTGGTCAGCAAGAGGGAAGGAGTCTTCATCCCTGACACCATGGACCAGCCTGGCAAGCAACCCAGACTTTCGTGGGAAGAAGTAATAACTACAGTCTTGGTGAAGCTACTGTTATTTCGGGTTCTTAGTCACTCACAGGTGAACCTAATTTGAGCTGATAATTGGTGACTGATTTTGGCTTCTGCTGACAAACGCAGAGACTAAAGGTAGGAGTCTGGGCCCCAGCAGAGGGGATGTTGGAAGGAACATCCCATTCAGGACAGCAGGGCAGGTTCTGAGTACAAGGCAGTAGGCTAATGCTAAGAAGAAAGATGATCAGGAAGAACCTCTGCCCCATGTGCTGTCTTTCGGCCCTGATAGAATTTGTCACATGCTAGAGTCCGTAGTTAGCAATGTCTTAGGAAGTGAAGGGAGATGCCAGTGTCCAGGCTTGGCTTTACAGAGGATGAGCAGCTTGGGCAGCCAGGAGAAGCTGTTACGAGTTGGTCAGGGATAAAGGGCAGAGAGGTGGTATCTGGAAGAGGCATAAGAAACATCTTGGACAACGTAAGCACTTCTGGGCACCCTTAGATGTATTTGGGAGGGTACTGATAATTTTGTCTTGAACAATGGGGAGCTTCCAAATATCGAAGAGGACAATTCGCATTTGGCCTTAGGTTAAAGGTTGGTCTAGGTGACCTCTAAAGCTATTTTCAAGTCTGAGAATCTATGATTCCATAAAACAATTAAATCACTAGCTTGATTTCCTAGTAGACATCATTCCTGTTTCCTCTCAACTGACTCTAGGCCAGAATCTTTTCTGGCAAGAGTAGTGTGCTCAGATGGTGTGCATGTATTGGCCAGTGGGTGGGGCTAGGATAATAACATTGTGATTGGGTTTTCAGTCCACTAAGGTCCGGCTAGTGCTGACCCTGAAATGGAATCAGACTTGAGAAACACCTGGGAGGAGGGTCAGGAAGCAGATGGAAATGGAAGTCCTGGAAAGGAACACTGGGGTGAGTGCCAGGCCATATGATAATTATTTTTAGAAGGTGTAATGATAAAAAACAAGTTTTTGAGCAGGAAGCCTTCCAGGACTGGATCTGGGGACTGGGATCCCAGGGGAAGGGAAGCCAAAGGGACAGGTAAGGTTCAATCTGATGTGGCTGATGGCAGAGAGGGTGGCTTCCCTTGAGGAAGTCTCTGTTTGTTTATTTTTGAATGTGCAGAAATACTGAATGAGAGAGATCTGATTTGAACTAGGGAATTGGAACTAGTTGCAGAAACTCCATGTATATATCAACTAGTACCAGGGGGCACTGTGGAATGTGCAATGATGTGCTTTTCACTTAATCTGTGCATATAGTGTGTCCTGAGACTCTCTGACACTGTAGAGTATGCTTTCTTATGGAGAACTGGGTAGGCAGCTGGGGAGGAAGTTCCTGATTCTGGAAGCAAAGCTTCTGAAAGAGAAATGCCTGCTGCCCTGGGTGGCAGTTCTGGAAAGTTAGCCAAGTGTTGGCAAAATCAGGAGGGAGATTTCATCATGAGGACTAGATCTGGATATATTTTAACTCCAAATTAATTAATTAATTAATTAATTCTTTTGTCATCTTATACCATCTATGTATTTATATCATTCATATACATCTTATATTTATTTTATTTACCATCATATAGCACTCAATCCTATATACTGCTTGGCACAAAATTGAGTCTCTATCTATCTATCTATCAATCATCTATCTGTTTTTGGAGGGAGCTTAGTTAATCACCTTTTTTTTTTTTTTTTTTTTTTGAGATGGAGTCTCACTATGTTGCCAGGCTGGAGTGCAGTGGCGCGATCTTGGCTCACTGCAAGCTCCGCCTCCCGGGTTCACACCATTCTCCTGCCTCAGCCATCCAAGTAGCTGGGATTACAGGCACGCGCCACCACGCCCAGCTAATTTTTGTATTTTTAGTAGAGACAGGGTTTCACCATGTTGGCCAGGATGGTCTCGATTTCCTGACCTCATGATCCACCCACCTCGGCCTCCCAAAGCACTGGGATTATAGGCGTGAGCCACTGCGCCCTGCCTAGTTGATCACCTTTTAAAGATTGTGAGAGGCATTTTATATTCTGCTCCAGATTGGCTTAGATGATCTGTAAGGACATCATCATTCAATCGATCACCTCTCCCCCCCATCATCTATGTCTAAAGTTTTTTTTTTTTTTTTTTTTTTTTTTTTAAGAAATAATCCCTTCAGCAAATGCTTATTCTGTTGCCTCCTCAGGATATTAACCCTTTGGGACAACTTACCCAGAAAAACGTTTCCAGCCATATCTTACTCAGTAAACAGAGGGTTATGTTCTACGGATAGAACACTGTGAGCCCAGGCAGCTCTGCAATTGCAAAGAAAAAAGCCCTAGTCCAGAATTATTTTTGGAAAGCAAGAGAGGCCAAATACATTGCTGTACCATATCAGAAAAATGAAAAGCGAAGAGGGAGGGACACTATGGAAAAGGCAATGAGCATAAGAATGAATTGCAGGGAACCAAATCAGCATACAAACAGTATGAGGCAGCCCCACTGGAATCCTTCATCCTGACAGGTCCCAAGGCACAAGCTGGGCACCTTCTTGAGGAATGAATCATTTCAGCCTGCAGTGGGGGGAGCTGGACAGCCAAGATCTGCCAGAGACAAATGGTTCTCTGCAAGTGAAGAGTGAGGGCACTGCAGCCAAGTGTCCCTGGAGCACAGTGTGGCTTTGCAGAGGGGAGAAAAGGGCAGGAGGCAGCGCTGAAGGATCCTTTCCCTGGGAACAGGCACTTCCACTCATCTGCTCCCCGAGGTCTCTGGGCATCCCTCAGGGGCTCAGAGGACTGGTGTGAACTCAACTCTCTGTATTTTCTTGCAATAGAGTTGAGGTCTCATGCTTTTTGAACTCACGGGAGGCAGTATGAGGTTG